GTCGACAGCAAAGAAAAGAAGAAACGGGTAATACTTAATTTCTTGTTTTTCATGTTTATTTCTTTATTTCTTATTATAAAAGCAACTAAAATGTAAAAATATGGATATTTTTAGGTTAGTTAAGGGTAGATTAGGTTTCACGATGGCACACGAGCAGCTCGTGGGTAATGTAATTCAATAGCATAGCGTAACGTGAGCTGCACGTTTCGCAAATGATTTACAACTTATAATGGCGCGAACAGTAGTTAGACACGATTCAAAGGGTAATACGACAATATAATTCAATTATAAATAGATGTATACTGTTAGGAATTTAAATCTACTTATTATATCTACTTATTTCATGTTATAATTTGAAGTCATTCTAGAAAGAAAAAGAGGGTAATTTAGATTTATTTCAATATCATTTTGGTGGTTACGAGGTCGATCAAATTGATCAACCTTGTATAGAGTTAGGGTAAATAAAATAATAGATAAAATATAAAGTTTTACTGAAAACAAATATTTGAAATGTATTTAGAAGGTTTAGAGATTACACAAATGAAATTTGAGATTTTTGAGATGAAGAAAAATATTTTTAACATTAACATGAAAATTACTTTGCACACGGATTATTCAAAACAAATACTCAATATATTCATGGACAAATCTTTTTTTTAATTTATCAAAAATACTCCACTAAAAATGATTTTTTGTATGTGAAAGACTTATAATGTTTACTGAAAGACTGCGAAATTTCATGAAGCTATACACACTATATTAAACTAAAATCTATAAAGACTTTGAACGAGTACAAAGAGGTCACGTGGTTGGTCAAATCGACCAAGCCCGTATTGAGAGAGTTTAACAGTGAAAGACTAGAGGGAAGGCATCTAGTCATCACCACCCACTGCCAATTTTTTGGGCTACTCTTTTTACCAACGCATAGTGGGATTGAATTTCATATTATAACGCCCCCACAGCTGAAAGGGCGAGCATGTTTTCTGGGACGTGACCCTAAGATTGTGATTCAAGTGCTCTAACCACCTGACCATGCTAGGCCCAAAAGATTCAGATCGTAAGCCTTACTAAGCTAGTAGCTTAAGTGCTCTACAAGCATATCAATATATTATATCTGTTCTATAACTCCATACTGCTGCCCATCATTGTGACCAGCAATAATATCCAACTTATTAAGGAATTGGAATTGAAGTTGAGATTTTATGCGCATGAGCTAAACGAATAGATTATGGACCCCTAGGATTTAGATATGGCCGTCCCTAATTTTGAAGTATACTAACCCTAGAAAAGGCAGTCTACTAGTAACATCCCCCGTCACAAGGATCTTGTCCAGTTCTTTTGAACTGAATAACAGGGTTGACTGCCACTATTATAACACACCCACAGCTGAAAGGGCCGAGCGTATTCAGCGATATAACATTTCGAACCTTCGATCATTCGACTTGCATTCCGACATGCTAATCATAAGGTCACGTCCGGCCCTATCTCTCTCTACAGTGGTTTAAAGCTGCAATACCAAATTACAATAAAAACATTTTTTAGCTTGTGTTGCAGAGAAAACCTTGTGTAAAATACAAACAAACAAAAACAACTAAACATAGTTGTTTTACCATTTTGTGAAATACTTTCTTGTCCAAGATTCTAAATCTCAAAATATACCAATGTTATGTCGAGCCTTCGAAATAGGCGAACATAAGTGTCTTCATTACAGCATAAAATGAAGACTAGATCCATACAAGTATAGGGAACGTCATGTTCAATAATATGAAAAAATTAAATACAGTTGACCAGGAAACAGTACTAATCGAAACTGACGACCGGTTATACTTCCAGATATAATTAGAATTTATTATGCTTCCGCAATTTCTCGACGCTTTCTCTAATGGCTTCATTATAAAGGATATTAGGATCGCTTGCGTTTAATATAATGTCACATTAAGGGGTGATTTGTGAAGTACTGAAAAATAAAACATAAGCGTTTTACGACTTGATATCTGAGGGTAAATATAGTTATTCACAGTCTATCGGCGCTAGATATTATACCAATTAAATTCACTGCTGGTCAACAACTTTGAGATGGTGCACTGCTACTGTTGAGGGGTGATCTGTTTTAATTTAAATGAGCGGGTTAAAAGAAAATCTAAACGACTCTTTCCATATACTAGCTCTAAGAAGATAGTGAATAAAATGACACTTTATCAAACTCGCACATGTTTTGTTTTCTCTTCTAATCATGTGCCATTCAGTTGTGACTGGAAAACAGTATAGGAAAATTTTTATCAACAATTTTTTGAACCTGGGTAATAATAAGATCTTGTTTTATTGGAGGATTAAGCAGAGTAAATTGTAATGAATTATATTTTTTAATAGACTGTTACTGCATGAAATGTAGGACTAGAAGACATTTCGGTCTCTGATGAAGGAGATCTAAACACAGAGACCGAAACGCCACCAACTCCTATTTTCCAGGCAAATAAAAAGAAACATACGTGGGATCGAGCCGAAGAGTAATTTTTTTTTTATAATGTTAGGCCTCAGCCTATTATCGTAGGTTGTGAATTAACTTGATATAATATAAAATCCACAAACCTGATAACAGGCCCTAAGAGAATCAGATGGAAGAATAAACGAATTGCCCAGTCTACTTTGGACATCTTAGGCCGATGGACACTTGATGAATGGGTCTTGCTCTCCTCTTGGTCGTGCATATACCAGCGGAGACTGAAGGCGTTGACAGTAAGGGCTGGGATAGCAGTGACCGCTAGGGTCAGTCCGAACCACCAGCTGTTTCCTTCTAGGTGTAAGAAGTAGCAAACAGCGATGTCAGTGCCGATGTCTATGGTGTAAGAGAAGATACCAATAAGAGTGAAGAAAGCACTCGCTAGAGTAAAGTGTCCCGTGTGTTCCACCTGTCCGGCGAAGATGAACTCTGTTTGTTGCAGAGGGTAACCGTGACAAGGGTAATGGTGTTCCTGCAAGATGGTCTCGATATGACTCCCCTCGGGGACATGCGACGGTCCTCTTTCCTCTTGTACCATCCCTGCTTGATATCCTTGACCTCGGGGGTAGTGGAGCTTTCGACTGTAAGGAAGATGAGCATTATGGACATCGTCCCAATGGGCAGAGCCTTGCATCTCCAATTCATTCACCGCCACCATTGGATGTCTGTCCACTAGAGACAAAAATAGATTAAAACGCCATCTACTACGACACAGATTTTTATCATACTGTGTCACAACATCATCACTCTGCTAAGTCACCATTCTAACGATACTTATGATACTCTTACTAGATTACTATTTTTATCATACTGTGTCACAACATCATCACTCTGCTAAGTCACCATTCTTAACGATACTTATGATACTCTTACTAGATTATTATTTTTATCATACTGTGTCACAACATCATTACTCTGCTAAGTCACCATTCTTAACGATACTTATGATACTTTACTAGATTACTATTTTTATCATACTGTGTCACAACATCATTACTCTGCTAAGTCACCATTCT